CTGGCGATTGCCTGGAATCTCAAATCCAGTAACCAAAGCTTCAGTTGAGAGCTTTTCCTTTAGTACCTGAGGCTCTTCATGCTCCCTGACACCTCTGTCTAAAGTGGGACCTTTTCACCAATATCTCTTTTCTTTTTTAGACAAGGTTTCATGAAATGGCCTAGGCTAGAATCAACCCACTCTTTGTCTAAAAAGCTGGACTCAAAGGAGAACCAAAGCAGCCAAGAGAACAGACCCTAGAGGTGGGAGAAACATGATATTGGAGTAATGGGACAGTACCGTGCTCTCAGGCTCACCTTGATTATGTAGAAAGGGAAGTTTCCACCATAGTTTTCAGGGACTTCCGCGTGCAGCTCTGCAGGCTGGGCCTCAGTGGTGAAAGCCTATGGGAAATTCTCTCCTTGTTCTGGTAGGAAGAGGGAATTGCTGCCCCCCCCCCCCCCCCCAGCCTACTAGATCCACCCTCCGGTCTTATGCTTCCTGTTTCCACAGCAGGCCCATAGCTCTGACTCTGAACTCCTGACTCCCACACTACTTTTGTGGCTAGGATGATGAGTCCGGGTGGGATTGGGGACAAGGGTGCTAACCCCCAAGGTTGAATTCTGAAGGACGATTCTGGGCCCAGCTCACCTGAATAACAGCGAGGCAAAGCAGCCACAGGCGGGCAGAGATCATGGTCCAGGTGGGTCTGAGGGACATGGAAGTGAGAATCCAGCCCAGAGGGTCAAGGAGAAGGATTCTATTCTGTATACATGACCAGAGGGCTCTCACTATAGCCTAGTCTCCCAGTCCCCCTCCAGAGGCCTGTTGCAAATATTCAGCTTCTTGGTCAGACCAAATGAGGCCCCTAGGCCCAATCATCCTGTCACAAAGAGGACCACAGAAGTTTTTATCTCCAGCCCCCCTTCTCCTTCCTGCTGTAGCACTCCCGCCCCGCAACAGCTCCCAAAGTGCCAATTATTTAGTACTCCACCAAATCACAGAAATTAGAAGCTGGACAGATGACTGTCACTTCCAGCAATTCCATGTTTCAGGTAAGGCCCGAGTGGCAGATCCTGCTCAAGGTCATGGAGGACTTGACCACAAGAGGATTCATTTTGGAGATTATCCTGTTTCCCACCACCACCCTCCAGATACAGAATGCCCTTAGGGCAAGAACTCTGTACTCATTTTGCATTTTGCAGACCTCGGCGCGTGGCTAAGAATGTGTAACATTATCAACTCTCCTCCACAAGATGGATCCCTGGGAACTCTTACCCAGATGTCTGAAGGATAGGGCAGCCCCACTCCCAAGCTCAACTCTGCCCACCCGAGAGCTCCCAGCCCCTCACCTACTGATGCCCAAGGCCTCTTCCTTGGTCCAGCTGCCAGGAGAGAGTGAGAGATCCTTCTCCAGGGAGCTCCGGCAGGTTGGGCTAGGTGGGGCCGGGCAGAGTGGACACTTGGACAGGTAGGCGGTCAGGAGTGGAAAATGCCACTGGGCCCACAGCAGCAGGCCTGGCCCCGCCTAGTCCCCCCCCCCCCCCACTCCGAGTTACTTATTGACTTTGGAAAGCTAGGACTGCTCAGGATCCGTGACTGCCAGCCCTGGGAGGTGGGCAGATCTCTGTCTGTCACGCCCACCTTGACACAGCTCAGTGAGCACTTCTTGGCCCTCTGGGCTTGGACACAACTATTTTTGTGTGTGTGTGACTTTAGACCTGGTCCCATTTCTCCTCTGTAATGCATCTGTAGCTAGATCTCCACAGATACTGTTCCCTATGCCTGGAATGCTCTTCCCACCCTTCATCAGGGTAGTAAGTACCTACTCATACTTTAGCAAAAAGCACCAATAACCCCTTCTCCAAGAAAGCCTCAACTTTCCTAATTCTGCAACACTTATACAGTTCCTCATGTTGTTGTGACCCCCCCACCATAAAATTATTTTTGTTGCTACATTATAACTGTAATTTTGCTACTGTTATGAATCATAATAAATATCTGACATGCAGGATATCTGATATGCAACCTCTGTGAAAGGGTCATTTGGGTCACTACCCAGGTTGAGAACCACTGTCTTATGCGAATAGGCTGGATTAGAACCACCTCCACATTCCACACCATGAACTACCTCTACTATGCACAGAAGACACCAGCTTGTCTCCCATTTATTAGCCTGGGAGTCCCTCTGGGAAGGACATCTGACCTTGTCCTGCCCCCAAGTACTCTTAAGTAACTTGTGACATTAAGGAAGGGGCTGGAAGTGTAACCCAAAGGGCAGATGACCCCAAGTGGGTGTTAGGGGTTCCAGACCATGCTTCAGGGAGATGGAAACAGAAGCTTGTGAGGTCCCCTGAAGCTTCCCAAGCCTCACATTGGCTCCTGAACATTGACAAGGGCAAGGCACTGCACTCTCTCATGCCTCCAAGCAGAAAAGAGAAGACTGAGCCAGCTTTGAGGGGGTTGCAGGGCTGGCCAGGGCCTCCACACATCTCCAATAAGGCCCACAAAGGAAATCCAGCAGAAGATTTGTTTTCTGGAAGTCTTGGATGAGGGGAGAGGGTAAGAAGACCCTGAGAACTTCTCACAGTGCATCTGGTTGGCTTCTCGGGATGGAAACTGGGCCAGGACAAGCAGGTTATCTACTTTGGGGTCACTGAGGCACCCAGTCTGGATTAGTGCTATATGTGGGTCTCATGCATATCAGGTGCTTATTAACTAGCTCCCAGAACTTCTTTGAGTGTATACACATTGTACATAGACAGACAGACAGACACTCATTGTTATCTTACCCACACCATTATGAAAAGGGAACTGTCCTCTGTCCTCTTGTCATATACTGCGGCACAGAGGGGCTAAACAGTTTGCCCAGGGCCTGGAGTGTGTGTGTGTGTGTGTGTGTGTGTGTGTGTGTGTTTGTGTGTGGTGTGTAAGCAACAGAAGCTTTGAGAAGTTAATACTGCCTGGGTGAGGGTGTGGGGGTGTTGTAGAGGTTCCCTCTTTACACACTGAGCAGCTGCCTTCAGACTTCTTTTTGATACTGAGTGAGCTGTAGCCAGGGTTCTAACCAGGCCTCAAGGGCTCCCAAGAGTTTGTAGAATGAAGAAAAGTGGGCGCTTGTCCCAGGCTGCCTCCAGGCTTTGGGAATGAGCAGACCTATGTAGCAGTTCCCCCCCTCAGCCACTTCCTACCCATCACCAACCGGCAATGCCAGCTCCTGAAAACATGTGCAGGCGTCCTCCTTCTCCATGGGGTACACATTCCAAGACCCCCAGTGGATGCCCGGTCCATGCGTGATGCCAAATCTCTCTATATTGTATTTCTTCCAATACTTGCCTTTTCACTTTCTGAAGCGCTGCATGGCCTCTCTTCGGCCTACACAAACTGTCACTGTCATTGCTCTGTGAGCATTATCTGGTGACTAGCACTGTGACATTAGAAAGTGGTTCTGATGACTGAGGTGGCTTCTAGGTGACTAACAGGTGGGTAGCCTATGCAGCATGGATCCTCATGACAAAGGCTGACTCACATCCTGAGTGAGACAGAGCTAGATGACTTAAGATGGCTTTAATCACATTGCTCCGAACATCATCTGGTTTAAAATGTATGAATTGTTGGTGCCTGGTATTTTCCTTTTCACATTTTCAGACGGTAGCCACAGCCAAGGGCAACCGAATCCACACACACAAAAGAAGCAGTAGATAAGTAAAGACTCCTACAGATACACTCCTATGTTATCACCTATGTCAGTCAAGAAGGATGAAGGAGGCGCCAAGAAGATGGCTAAGTGAGTAAAGAATAAGGAGCTAAGTTCAGATTCCCAGCGCCCATGTAAAAGCCAGGTGAAGCTCTTACAATCTCAGCACTGGGAAAGTGGAGACAGGGAAATTCATGGGGCTTGCTGATTAGCCAGTCTATTCCATTGCTAAGCTACAGGTTCAGGGAGAGACTCTGTTTAAGAAGAATAAAGTGAAAGTGATTGGGGAGACTTCTGACATCCGCCTTTAGCCTCCAAATACACGGTAGCCCGTGCACATGCATACACAGCCACGGCCACACAGAATCTCCCACACACAGAGGAATGGAAGGAGGGAAAGAGAAAGAACCTGGAAGGAGAGCTGGCCTGGTAACCCCAGCTATGCAGGAGGCCAAGACACGAGGTTCAGTTCTAGGCCAGCCTGGGCAATTTAGAGAGACCTTGTCTCAAAATGCATTGGCTGAGGATGTGGCTAAGTGGTAGAGAACTTGTCTATAACATATGAGGCTCCAGGTTCTGTTAAAAACAATATAGGGAGAGTCATTTGCTCCACTACTAGGAGGGCCTGGATGGGCAGATAGGCAGTGATGGCACACAGGGACACATCCTACACAGATGTGAAATCTGCACTCCAGACAGGGAGAGCTCTAGGGAGAGGTCTTTGCAAAAGATGAACTGGTCAATGTATTAGCATGGGCCATAGTAGAGTAAAGAATACTGAGCCCCTGCAGGATAACCTCAGGCAGGAAGTGGTTCTCCACAGTGCCTGTGGGTGCCTCTCTTAACACCTACCCTTCAACACCAGCCACCTTACCTCCCCTCTCTTAAGTCTTCCCTTCCATGTCCTGGCTTTAGCTGATTTCCACCCCTTAGGAAGGCCAGGGCAGAGCCTGAGCCCACAATCATGTCAGACTGAGAGATCCAAAGCAAAGTGTGCTTTTTGGGGTCAGCCTCAGTTTCCCTTTAATGTATGGAGAGGCAACAGGATCTTCAGTCAGCTAGACAGTTCCAGGCCCCAGCGTGGAAGGGTCTGGATAACAGGCTGGAAGAAGGTTTTGTCTCCTGCTTCTTGAACGTTCCTCCTAACCACCATAGGTTTCCCATCTGTTCCCTCCATTGTGCTGACTAAATCCAGGCCAAACAGGACCATCAAGACCATACACTAGGTCATGTGGGCAGGGAGCCCTTATCTCTCAATTTCAGCATCTCTTTCTGCTCTTGAAACCACCATGAAAGAAACCTACTCAGCAGCCCTGGCTTGTCAGGAAATAGTCTTTATTACAAAATCTGCATGTAAACAAACAGCAACCATACTGAACAGCCTGGCTCCCGGGCACAAACACCCACACGGAGAAAGGCAGAGTCCTGTCCACGAGCTGGGTTCAGGCTGCTTGGTATGCACGTGGGCCTGCACATGCATCTCCCTGGCAGTGGCCTCTTGGAGTTGCCTCCCTGGTCAGCACTGTCTGTCTGTCCATAACCAACACACAGGGTGTGCACAGCTGACAGTTCTCAGTCTCACAGAGCGTGGACCAGCCCTGAGGCCTCCAGAGCAGTTGGCTGGGCCAGCCCCTCCACCCATCCACTGGCCCACTAAGCGAGAGGCCCATTGGGCCTTAGAGGACAGAGAGGTCATGGCAGGACTTGGACTTAGCACGGAAGGCCATCTTGCGGCTGTTGCGAGCTACGATGCGGCCCAGAAAACGTTTGGCCTTCTTGCCAAGGCTCTCCCTTCGCCGAGTGCCAGCTTGCCGCCGGGCATTATCCTCTTTGCTGTCTCTGCGGAGGCGTATCTGGCGCACGACACCCTCAAACAGTGCCTGGACGTTGTGGTGCAGGGCTGCTGATGTCTCGATGAACTTGCAGTCGAAGACTACGGCGCAGGCCCGGCCCTCTGTGTGATGGGGACAGACAGGTGCCGGTCAACAAGGAGCAGAGGATGCCATCTCAAACCCTCACCATATCTGGCAGCTACAACTCAAGAATTCTCTAACAGTGGAAGAAAGAGCCTTAGACCCTTTTTAAAAACACAGTGATCCCAGTTGCTCGGCCACTTGAGAGGCACAAAGTTTATGGTGGCCCACAAAAAGGAATTCATGCTTTAAAGCCCTGTGTTTAAAATGTATTCTGCAGTAGCGGACTAAGACAAATGCAAATGATTTGACAGCTGAGTATTTTATGGTTTGCTGTTATACGAATGGCCCAGGTCACCAAGTTTGAAGAATTTGGTACTGTGTGCCACAAAGGGGGAAGCTGAAGCCTGATGAGTACCAGGCTTATTCTGAGGATGGTGGGGCACGGAATCACACTCTGACCTCCTGATCCTTTGTATGTTTTTCCATTTCCTCAGCCTCACTCTTGTCTCCTGAGGAGCAGTTGAGGAGGGTGCTTGTGTGCCTCAGTTTCCCCTAGCAGATCTGGTTCTTCCCTTCCCCTTTGTTTTAGGCCTCTAGGAGCCCGATGGACCAGATGCATCTCCTCCACCCTCCAACACCAAGTTTTCTTCCTGAACATTTTTAGCCACTGATGATCCCCAGGGACTTAGGCTGAGCCAAGACTAACTGGCCCGCAGCCCAGCTAGAATCTCCCCCCACCCTTCCCTGACCCAACGCCTGCTTACCGTCCACAGAGACCTCACGGGAGCGCACCAGGTCACTTTTGTTGCCCACAAGGATGATGGGCACGTTGTCTGTCTGCCTCGCCCGCCGCAGCTGGACCCGAAGTTCTGAGGCTTTCTCAAAGCTGCCCTTGTCTGTTATTGAGTATACAATGACGTACGCATCTCCCATGGCCATGCAGTGGCCAGGTAGCCAGCAGCCCCCATCCTGGAGGGGAGACAAATACACACACAACCCTGTAATTTCCAGCAAGGCCCTTCCCCGGCTTTGCTTCCCCTCTTTCCCTGTGACCCAGCCTGCATCCTACCTGCTCCCAAATGTCGTAGACCATGAGTGATGCCTCTTCTCCATCCACAGTGATAGAGCGGTCATATGTGTGCCCTAGGAAAGGAGCCAATAGCCAAGTTATCAGTTGGCTGTCAAAAGTTCCCACTGTCCAGTTCCTCTTCTGACCACACCTCCCACTTCTCAGAGTCTCCTGATAACTCTCCTCCACCAGCAGATGGTTGCTATGATCAAACGAATGACAAGCCTGGTAGCTGGGCGGGGGCTGGAGGCATGGAATGCCCCACCTCTCTCTCTGTGTCCCCAAACTAGCAAAGTACTGGGTGTCCAGGGTTCCCTGACCTCCTGCTGCCCGGCTCCATAGTGAATGTGACCACACTGGCTAGAGGTAGCACAGTGGCTGTCTCTCCCCGGAGGCCTTGGCTACCTAACTTTCCTCTTCTAGAAACTTCTGATTTTGTTCCTGCCAACCCTGGCTGGCAGGACTGTTCTGCCCCAAGCATACCCAGCACTCAACTTTTCTATTAGGGGCACTTCTTCCATATCAAGGACTGGCACATGGGTAGGGGAGAGGTTGTGGGGAGTAAGAAGGGATTTGTGGTGGCCCTGCAGTCTCCATCTTGGACGCTGAAGTAACATGATTCTGAAAATGCCTTGAAATTCCATAGTGTTTGCCACTTTTAGTCCATGTCCCCTTCCTCCCAACTATTTTTCTCTAAACAACTCAATTCTCTCACCTGCGGCTTCTGCGTCAGGCCCGTCTTCTATACCACCAAAGATGCGCGCCAGAGCGCTCTTGCCCACACCAGGCGCCCCAAGCAGCAGCACCTTGTAAACGCCCTCCACTGAGCCGCTGCCTCCAGAACTCAGCGAGTCGGAGGAGCCTTCCGGCCAGTCCAGCCTCTGCCCCTGTGTTCGAGTTCCCGCTGTAGTCGCTGCTAGGGAACCGGGGGCTAGCGCCGCCTGAAGGTCTCGCTCGTCCACGGGCATGCTCCTGCGGTGCATCGGGGGTGCCGGGCCCCAGGGGGTGCTGCCTCGACGGCGGTCGCGCTCCCTGCCCGAGCCTCGGCTCCCTCCGCTGCCGCCATTCAGGGTCATCGTGTCGGACGCTGCTGCCGTCTAGGGCACCAGGAATCGGGATGGTAGCTCTACAGCGGAAGCAGGCGGGACCCTGGAGTCAAGAAAGATGCTCAGGACCAAGGGCCTGCCAGAACCTATAGCGAGTCCCGAGGTCTCCACGCCTTAACCGGTAACCCAGCTGGATCCCCATCCATCCCAAGCCCTGATGGTGTGGTCCATCCCGCTTCGTCAGGACACTCACCAAGTCTCACAGAATCTCTCAGGATCTGATCAGCGCTCCAGCACAGCCCACTGAGGGATCAGATAGAATCCACTCGCAGACCTCTCTTCAAAGAGACTTGGACCCTTGTTGCTGGCAAAACTGCAGCCTTTTTCTCCTCTGCTACCTTAGCCCCTCAGCTGGCGCTGGGTCGCAGCTCTAGGGCCGCCTATTTAAACCTCCACCAGCCTGGCTCCCCGCCCTCACTCCTACCCCGCTCCCGCCCCCGCCTCCGCCTCCGCCCCCGCCCCAGTCCCCATCCCCGGTCCACGGTGCTGCTGCGGGGGAGGCTGACGCATCCATCCGCCCCCGGGAATCCCCCACCTCCCTTCTAGGACCTCAGACTCGCCAGGGCGGGGCAGGTAGCTGGGAAGAGGCGGGGGTGAGGGGGTGAGGCCGGGAGGGGGGAGTGTGGGTTGAGGCGGGTGCACAGGCGGGAGGTGGATGATGCAGAGGCTGCCAGTAGTGGGTAACTGGACCAGTAAAGTACAACTCCCTCTGGAGAAAATTTAGTCTATCCCTTTAAGAATGAAGTCTCCCTTCTTGTGCCCAAATCAGAACTGTTACCCAAGCGAGTAGACTAGTTATGGACTGGACACACTCATAGCCCATGACACCCATTCCTCCAGGTATGGACCCTAGCTCGAATTTAGAGTGTCCTAAACTGGCATTTCTAGCTTCAACACTAAGTCCTTCCTATTCCAGTCCTTGTGCTGGTACTTAAAGAGTCTCCCCAGTGAAACTGTTCTTCATGTTGAAGGTGGGTGTCATCCACGATTCCCTGGGTCCCTTAGAGGGTTAGAAGGGAGGGCGCAGGGAGAGGGCAAATCAGTGGACTCTTCTGTTAAGCCTACTAGGTGGAGGTGTATGCTTGTCTCCTGGAGAGAAACTACAGAGCCAGAGAAAGGAAAACACAAACCCAAGTCCCCACCCTATCTCTAAGCATGCCAAGCAGCTGCCAGTAACTCTGCTAAAAATATCTAACCCTGGCCCTAGCCATTTTGTTTCTGGGCATGAGGTTGCCCAGACTGGGGGGCTGGGCGGGCAGGGGGGGATCCAGGCTGATTGTGGGGAACTCCAGATCCTTCTTTACAGTCTTTACAGCCAGCCTCTTTACAGTCTCCAAGTTCTTCCTGCTCCCGAGCCCCATGCTGGGCCTTTTGCTCGTAAACAGGGTATGGGCAAGGGGTAGGGAAGTTTCAGGCACCATGCCCCAGGGCCTCTGCTCTGTTTAAGACTCATTTCATATGTGCCGACCCATACTGTGTGCCAGACCCTTTTATCAACGGCAGAAGTAGATGTAGTGCTACCACTGCCTCAGAGTTTACCTTAGACGTTGGATGAGAACTGGGATAATGTCAGAGAGGAGGAGAGGTGATCGGGTGGGCTGAGTGTCTAGTCCTGGATCTGCCTCTCCCTGCTAGAGGACCCCAGTCCTGAATTGGACATCATGACCTGTTCCTTCCTTCCTTGTCTCTAGAGTGAAGACTGTGTGTGTGTGTGTGTGTGTGTGTGTGTGTGTGTGTATGTGTGTGCGCGCGCGCTTGCTGTCTGTTTCTGCGTACCAGCTGTGACGTACTTTGAGACAGGAACTTGCTTTGAGATGTTTGTGATGACTGTGATGGGGGGTGGAAGGGCACCCATTTGACTCAGGTGACATCATACATAGGTGGACCTTAGTGGGCTATTTCAGGTTGCCATGGAAACTTGAGCCAGACTTGCTGCTGCTGCATTAGTCTCCTTGGCAACACCTAGGAAGGCCTTGAATTGAGGAAACTGGCTGGGGGTAAGGTTAGGGAGCTTATGATGCACAGTCCTCTTGTTCCGAAGGCCCTCAAGGCAAGCAAAAGCGGAGCCGAGGCACCTGCTTATGTGTCCTTTCTATGAAGCAGGGATCTTGGAGGCCCAGGAAGCCCAGGCTGGTTTTTGTTTCTTGGATAAGGCTCAATGGCAAGAGGGAGTTGGGGGCTCCAGCCTCTCCTTACAGGACACAGAAGTCTCTAGAGTCAGTGATCACTTCTCATCAGGAACCCTGGCTGGCTGTTTGTGACACATACATGTCCCCTTTCCCTGCCCCCCATGGCATGAACATACAGTGTGGCTGGAAAGAACCCTGAGGTGTCCAGGAGAGTGTCTGGCAGAGGATGGCTGGAGGAGAACTGTAGACCTTCCCAGAAGGGGCCATGCAGGGAAAGAGGGCTGACTTTCCCCTCTGGTAATCTGAGCTTTCGACCTCAACAGTGTATCTTCTTTGCCAAGGCAACGGCATCCACACAGAGCCACTCAGACCCCAGGCATTCCTGTGGCTATGCCAACAGGCCAGAGATGAACATCACAAGCCTAGGTATAGCCAGGAGCTCCACGATCCAATATCAGGACATGACCTTTAGATCATTTCCTGCTATACTCCTGCCACCTGGTCCTCTCAACGCTCTCAGCTGCCCAGAAGGAACAAACTATGGTTGGAACCAGCTTTGTACCTTGTTAGCAGGTTCACCTTTGTTCATTTGTCCCAGACGACCCTGTTTCCTTCCACACAGACCAAGGATAATGTCTCCCTAGTTTTGAGACATAAATAACACGAAATGTGGAAAGCCTCAAGAATGGTATATCTTAGCAGACACCTTTGTATTCTCCTCATCCTTGGTTGGATGAGCAGGTTGAGTGAATCCCTGAACTGTCTCTTGCTTCTGCTTCAGTATCTCCAGGATGATGTTCTGTCCTGATGAAGGTCAGGGACCCCAGGAAGAATGCAGACAACTCCTGTGTTATCCAAGCCTACCTCTTCTCTGTGGGACCATTCCCACTCCTCCCTCAGGTGACTAAATGCTGAAAACAGCGCTTGGATGCTCTGAGGGTTAATCTCCATTGCCAGCTTGACTGTGTTTAGAATTGTCATGGGCTTCTGGGTGTGTCTATAGGTGTTTTCAGAAAGGTTTAACTGGAGAGAGGACCCATCTTGAATTCGGGTAGCATCATTCCATAAACTGGGATCCAAGGTTATAAAAAGGAGAAAGTGACCCGAGCACTGGCATTCATCTCATTTGGCTTCCCAAATTTTGGTGCAACATGTCCAGCGGCCTCACATGTGTGAAGTCATGCCTTCCTTACCATGATGTATATCCTCAAACTGTGAGCCAAGACAAACCCTTCCTTCCCCCAGTTGTCCCTCGTCATGGATTTTGTCACAGCAATGAGAAAAATAATGAATACAGCTAAATTTGAGCACCCCCCCCCCCCCAAGACGGCCCTCTGATTTCAGGGCCCCTGATCTCTTCTGTGACTTAATTCATTTCACTGAGCAGAGCCATACTGTGCTCCAGACCCTTTTGTCAAAGGCAGGATGATGGGAGAAAATAAATGCAGCTGAGCGTGTTCATTTGTGTCATCTAACCTCTGAGGCAGTCTCATTTAGCTGTGATTTGTTATTCCCATTGTGTAGACATAGTAACCGAGGCTGGAGAGATCACAGTCCAGAAATAGCACAGCTAGATATGTGTGGTGGACGGTCTCAGAGATCTTAAACTTCATCCTCCTCCAACCGCCGCTATGCCTTCACAGCACAGCTGGGGTTCCAGAAAGTTCTCTGGGTGCTGGTTCGGTATTCACAGGTGGTGTCTTTGCAGACAGCCAAGACAGATGAGCCAAGAATGTCAAAGTGGGGCAGGAGAGACGGTGCAGTGGTTAAAAACACTGACTGTTCTTCCAAAGGACCTGGGTTCAATTTGCAGTGCCTAAGTGGCAGCTCACAGCTGTGTTTAACTCCAGTTCTAGGGGATCCTACACCCTCACACAGACATACATGCAGACGAAACACCAACACACATAAATAAATAAATAAATAAATAAATAAATAAATAAAAAAAATTAAGAACTGTCAAAGGGACTGAAATGCTAGTGCTTGGTATCTTTCACTCCAGTGGTCTGGCCACCAGGAAAGTCAATCAGCATGACTCAAAAGCACCTGACTACTCTGAACATGGCTGAATACAGATACCATGGCCATCTCAGACAGATGGGGCTTGCCACGCTGAGGTTCCCATGTGGTGAGCCCCACAACTTGGAAAGGATCTCTGGGCCTAGTCACCCTAGTGGGTCACCCCATCTCTCTGAAACATTCAGTTCTTTCACCTGTGAAAATGGAGGACCAAAGTGTCTGGGAGATCATTTGAGCTAGGCCAAGGGAAAGTTTACATGTGCACAGAGCAGTCCCAAAGAGATGCCATGGGCCAATGGCTCCATCTTCTCCGTCTTGGGTGGTCACACCCAGTTCTTGCTAAGAATGAACTGAGGCATAGGAGCCGTGGTTTGGGTTGGGCCCAGGCCTTTCTACAGAGGCAACAGCGACTCCTGCCAAGGGAGCAGTATTTTATCTGTAGTGGGAAGTCTTTCGGATATTTTCCTAGATCACTCCTCACCTGCAAAGGGTAGATAAGGAAGAAAAGCAACCAGCATGCGGAGCAGGGTGATTTCTGGGCACAGATGGATAATCCCAGCACTCAGGACCACTCGGTGAGACCTTGACTCAAGAAGCTAAAACAAACAAACAAGCAAATAACTCAACAGATCTTAAAGGGCCCAGGCTCTCTGATAATGAAGACACCGCCAATAGCCATGTCTGGGCTCCCATAGGGGTGAGCAGTCCCATCAGAGAGGAGACTGAAGCAGGAAAACCGGAGGCAGTCCTGGGAAAGAGCTTCCAAATGGCTAAGATCTGAGAACAATGATCTCTCTTGAGATGACAAATGGCAATCGGGGTACAGAGCAACAGGAGGCAGAGGCCCCAGACATGGTCATATCATTTTATAGAGCCGAGCTTCTCTTACCCAGCACCTGGGTAACACAAACCCCTGAAGGATGGATGGTGAGGATTCCCCGGGACTCTTTCCAGAGAGAAAATGAGTATTGCTATTTTAACCTAGGCATCACTACCAGTGGGCAAAGGTATCCTATGTGCAGGTTAATGTCACAGCATACACAGCACTCCTGGGCAAACCCGCAAGCCTGAGCTCATTCCAGTGGACAAAGAAACACACCACATGGTGGGACTTGCCTAAAATAACTCTCTTGGATTTTTTCCTCTTTTTTTTTAAGGTCAAGAGTTAAGATGTACAGGGTGGGCGCTATAGCCTCACTCTGCAAACATTCCGAGAGGGC